GTTAATGCTGTAACTGCTGATTCATTTCTGTTTTTAAGTTCTGGAACCTCTTAAGGCTATCTTTCCTGAATATTTAATTTACTGCCATTTTGATAGGATTGTATATCTTCCATCTGATAGAGAGTGAAGGGACAGTTATCCTTTCTCTCAGTAATTTCTGTATATCACTTTTGTAAATACATCATTTTGTACAATTAACATCTGCACCCCTTAACCCACTCACTCCAGGGTGACATCCTGTCATTTTGTGGTAGACCATTGCTCATGCCATGATGGCATCCCATCATGTCAGGCATGGTTGAGCATGCTCTAGATTGTGTGCGCTAAACAGTGATTTGCTTTTTTTGGCCCTGTATTTAGTTTCTGAGGAGAAACAGCCCCTCAAAAGTAGGTTTAAACCTCTCTTTAGCCTCATTATGTAAGAAATAAAAACAGAGCCGAAAGCAGATAACTTAATGTGCAGCCCAGCATGTGGTTCAATATTGCACTTGGAGCTCCAGTTGTTAGTGGGTTAAGTGTATATTGACATGCCAAAGACAGTTCTGCCTGTTTAAGGTTCCTTTCCTTTGATAAGTTAATCTTCTATAACCAAGCATCTTTCTTTATTGCATAATGAAAACAGTCACTCTAGTCTGTAGATTTGTACACCAACTAATTGGTGTAAAGAAAATTAATAGTTGATGTATAAACATAAAATATATGAACAGTCAGCTAATGGATGTATATATATTTGTTCTTTTTCATATTATGACGTTCATTTTATTATTTCCTTAAAGGGGCAGGTGCATTAGTCTGTTCTGTCCTAGGATCCTTTTACTGAGCAGGATGCTTTTCCATCTGTGAGGGGATTTGAGATGAAAATCCCTTCCCAGAGCAGCAGCACTGTGTTGGTCTTTCGTCCCAGATAGAGGGAGAGATGATGCCAAAACAAAATTGAAGTATAATTACTAGGAAGCTTATCACTTGATTATCTAAACATTGAATAATACATTATGTTAGGTACATTTATACTGTAGAAATAAGTAATATATATTATAACTAACAATAATGCCTCACTAAAAATTTTAACCACATGCCGACAGCGATGGCATGTGCGTACATGCCATGCCTACTGTGTGTTTAAGTTAGTTATTGTTTTTATATATAGATGGCTCCACAAGTACTAGGTCACCAATCAGCCAGTTACGAGAAGTACCTGTCTCATGTATTTAACCTTTTCCTTGATTTTCAATCACATTTTCTTGTATTTGATACTGTTGTTAGTAATGCTAATAATATAATAATTACAATGTTAATGATAAAAATAACATAAATGGCAAAGCCATTTATGTGCTGAGAGAAACATTAATTTGATCAAGGAATGCATAAAAACACCCACTCTGATAGCTGAAGACACGGAGCTCACTTTAAATATTATTTACATTACTGGACAAAGAGAGAGCCAGAGAATAATTATGGAATACCATCCACAAATGTCACGATAGCAGTAAGTTAAAAATAACAATAATGGAAAAAATTAACAAGAAACTGCTTTGCATGGTGAATAATCGTACGGCTGGCAATGCTGTGGCATGATCGGCAATTACTAGAATTTTAATCAATTTCAGTTATAGTATTTGCTTCCTCCTGACTTCAATTTTTATCAGTCTGTAATTACACCTTGTGCTTAACTGATTTCACTAATAGCAGTATATGCTATTGGAAAGAATATGGGGTATCAGGGTAGCTGGCATGGTTGTATAATGTATGATATCAACACCATTGATGTCACCAGGTGACATCACCATCATGTCATGAAAAAATTTGGCTTAAGGGGCAGGTGACTTGAACTTGCCATTGTGAGTGTAGGCCGGGTTGAAATAGAAAAATAGAATGTTAAAAAGATGAATAAGTAAAAAATTACACAAATAACAAAATGTTACTTTTTCACTGAGTTATGGACTTCCTAGTGAGATGGTATGTAGTCAAAAGACCAATATGTATGTTAGTTAATGGTATAAAAGCTTAAAATTCTTGTGCATGAAAATAATATATATATATACATTGCAAAGGGATGGTAGAGAGTCTTGTCATGGCACACCAAGTGTTTATATGTGCCAGTCCTACCTAATATATTTTGGTCCATATGATTCCTGTGAAGCAACAGAATCCAAGGGGTTAATGAAATGGGTAGATTGGCTTTTCTAAGTTCGGTATCTTTTTTCTTGATTTTTTTTATACACAGTCAATGGCATAATATTCATGGGATCCTCAATGCTTCAATGTGTAGTTCATGCAGGAGTTTTACACTATGACACTATGGCCTTTTCTGGAACCATGCTTCTCCACGGAGGGACACTGCATAGTGTGACCAATCCTGCTCTGTAGCTCATAGACACACTGTGTGGTTGTCTAGGGATCCCAGGACAGTGGAGACTAATGTGATTGTCATGAAGATAATTTCATGTACCTTGTCATTGAAAGCCATTAGGCTTGCTTGTGAATGAAGTCTCTCTCCAGACCTCCACAGCACAGTGTGAGTGAAATCTCTATCTGCCATTGGATAGTAGCCCAGCAATCCTGTGGCCAATTCCTGGTTCTGTGAGACCCAAATGGCATGTGTAATAAACCCAAGAATATTCAGTACCAAACACTTTTTGCTCTCTGCTCTCTCTCTTCTCCTCTTTCTCACTCTCTGTCTCCTCTCATTTCTCAACTATTAAATCTCTCCTCTTTCTCACACACTCAGTTTCTTTTCTCTCTTCCTTCTCTCATAGTCTTTGTGCTCTTTCTCTCTGTCGTTGCACTCAGTCATGCTCGTCTCTCGCTCTTCTCTCTCTCTTGTCTACTCTCTCATGGTCCTCGTCTCTCCTCTCTCTTTATAATATATCTATAGTATAATAATTATAGTTTATATTATAAATATTATAAGTAAATATATAACTACTGATATAATATATGATAATAACTTATTATATATTAAGATAGATGAATAGTATATAGGTGAGAGTATATATATAGATATATATATATTATCTCGTATGTCTTGTCTCTCACTCTGTGTACTGCTCTCTCTCTTCTGTGTGCTTTTCCGATCTCTTCTCGTCGCAGTCTCGACTCTTCGTTCAGTTAGGCAAGGATCCAGATCTCTCTCTCCGTCTTTCTCTCTCTCTTCTCGTGTCTTCTGCTCGATCTCTCGTCTCGTAGCGGTATTACTCTCTCTCGGCGTCTGATGTACGTCTCTTGTTCATGGTAGTTTCTCTGATACTCTCGTGGCGGTCTCTCTTCATGCTCTGTCCTCGTTGTCATCCCTCGACCTCCCTCTCTCTCTCGGCTCGTTCTATCCTTCATCATTCGATTCATCCATTCTTTGTCCAACTCCGACAGGCATCCGCGGTGTACTCTCACCTTCTTTCTCTCTCTCTCTTCTCTTCTCTCTCTTACTCATCTCTCTCCTCTCTCTCTCACTCTCTCATCTTCTCTCGTCATCCTCATTCTCTCTCTTTCCTTCTTTCTCTCTCTCTATGCATCCTTTCTCATTGATCTCTTTCTCTTATCCTTTCTTTCCTCTCCTCTCCTTCATATCTCTTTCTCTCTTTCTCATTATCTCCGCTGTCTTACATTCTGTCATCTTTCTCTCTTCTTCCTCTCTCTTTCCTTCGTCACTACTCATCA